CTACAATTGCTTGCTTGATTTCTGCATTGGTTCTACTTCTTTCTTCATTGAGACATATCTTTTTTAAGGAACTGGCTGTTTCTTTAAGTTGGAGAGCTAGTGTGTCCCTCTTTTCTTTTTTTTCCAAAGATTTAGTTAACTCTTGAATAGAGTTGAAGGTTGGAGCTATTGGTGCTATTTTTTGGTTAATTTCGTTACATTCCTATCATAATTTTTGAGCTTGCAATGGTTTTTCTTCGAGGTCTTGGAAGTTGATCCAACTGTTAAGGGTTTTGGTGATTAGACAATAGCTGCGAAGTGCAAGTTGTTCTCTTTGGCTCTTCTTATGTTTAGGCACTTTGACTGTTCCCCTTGTTGTTTTTTTTTCACAATATAAGTAATTAAAGGCTGTGGTTATTAGGGTTTTCTCGAATATTTTTTATGAGTCTTGAATCAATTGTATTCGTCTATCACTATTTGTTTGCTCATTGTTCATTGTATGGATTAAAGATGTAATGTTGCTTCACTGAAGCTTTTAATCAATCTTGTAAGTAAGGATGGGTCCCTAAACTATTTAGCATATAAAATTTCATAGATCAATTATGTCCCTTTTAAAGGGACATAATTATTTATTCATTACTTTAATAAGGACATAATTCAAAAAACACTTGAATTAAGTGGTCTAAATTGCAAAAAACCTTTGTAGGTAGTTTTTTTTTGACCTTATATTTAAAAAAAAACTTTTTTAATAGTGAAGAACATTTGAATTATGTCCTTACCTTTAATTTAGGAACCCATCTTTACTTGTGAGCATATTTTTTCCATTGTGATTCTGTTGTTTTGGAGATGTTGATTATCTTTTCTCTATAGGGCTTGGGCTTTTTCATGTTCATTTGATAATTTTGAAACATGACATCTCGCATGACTTTAATAGACAGTATGATATGATCACTGTTGGAGATTGAGTGAAATCGTTATTGCTGAATTGAAGTATGTTGTTTGCTATGCCATAGGATTCCCAGATATAATCAATTCTACTAGAGCTTATTCTGTTTTTTCAAGTATATGTGGTTTCACCTGGTTCCCATAATTGTTGTAGATCAGAAAGATTCCAATTGTCCATGTGGTTGAATAGTTCAATTTCTGGATCTTCAGGTCTGGTGAACTCTTATATATTGTTTATTGTTTTATGATCTGTTCTTGGATTTACTGTTGCATTAAAGTCACCCATAATTATGATTTCATAGCTTTTCTGTGAGTAGGCTTGTAATAGCTTGAGAATCTTTTTCTGTAGTTCTCGACTTTTTCTTCTATCGCTGGGTAGGTATATTTGAGCGATCCATGTCTTGTGGCCTTTGTTCAGCAGATTAATTGCTATTAGGTGACCTTCAATTGTGTCTATTGATGCTATATATCTCTTGATACTCCTATGAATTAGCAGTAGGACTCCTGCACTTCTGGGGTTATCTGGCTCAGCACTTGAGATACACTTGAAGTCTTTTTGGTTTGAGAATGTGAAGTATTGATTTTCTTTAGAGAGCTTGGTTTCACAGAGGCCTAGAATATCGATTCTTCTCTCTAATAGTTCCAGTATTAGGTTGGTTTGATCTGTGTCACGTGTGATTCCTCTAACGTTATGTATACCTATTGTTATGTATGGTGCCTGAGTATTGGAGTTGTCGTTTAGGGAGTTGTCGTTAGGATTGTATGAGAGCTGTTTTGGATTAATTTCGTTAAGGTTTGTATTTTGATTATTTAGAAATTGTTCTTTTTGCTCACGTAAGAAGGTAGTGATGTCAGTGTCTGGTTGTTGGTTATGTAAATCTAGGGGGAGTTCTGAGTAAACGGTGTCCGTAGTATAGATTGACGAGAGGTTTGGAATTGGAGATTCTATTGGTGATCTATTTTCTGATGATCCCTTTTCTCCAATGCTGGTTTCTGATTGGACTGTTATAATTTTTAGGAAAAGTAGTGGGATTTCCTATTGTTTTTGTATTTCTCGACCTGCTCTTATGGGGTTCTTACACGCCGATTTTGCTTCGTACCTCGCGATCATCGATAATATGCTGTGACCGTTTTTGGCCAACCACCTGAATAACAAAAAGAAATTTGAACCGATTAATTAACTGATCTCTTGACCCTTGTGATTTACCATCCTATATTATATTTACCAAGCGAGTTTAAATTTCAAAGGCATTGACCGTGTCAGATTGGGGGCGTCACGTGGAGCAATCGAGCTGATGATTGCACATTTTTTGATCAGCGAATCCATGTTTTCGTCTCCCTTTATAACATTTGTTGGTTTACCTAATGCATAAGCAGCTGCTAATCCATAAGGACCACCCGCTGAATATGCAATCAATGAACATTTCTTGATATTTTTCTGAATACAGAATTCTCGTATGTCATCAGTGAAATCTAAAAAAGTTCGTTTAGCAAATGTCGATAATCCAACTCCAGGTCTTTCCAATACGAATAGACGAATTGTTATGGTGAGGGTATCGATGATATTTTCGGTGGATTCGGGGTTGGATTCTAAAACTTGAGGATGACAGAAAAGTCTTGAGCCAGGTATCCCAGGTATCAAGAGAATGATAAATTCTCTTTGTTCGGAAATCGAGTCATGGTTCTGAATGATGTGTTGGAATTGATACTCTTTATACCCCATTTTACGGCCATCGCCCAGATCAATGGTTTCGCCATCGTCATCTCTCGGAAAATTGGATAGCTTGAGGTGAGGATATTCGGGAATTTTGGATTTTTGATTAGGGTTAAATTCGATGGCGCTGGTGCGAGACTTGGAAGAGGCAAGCCCCATTTTTTTCAGAAATAATAAGGTCAGTTTATTATGGATGAGAAGAAATTATGAACAAGCTTGTTGGTTTATGTGAAACAAGGTGATTCTTACCGGTTACGTAAGACAGAGATGAAGGGAAAACAAACAAACTTATGAGATTGCTATAGGACCAAGCGGTTAGACCGATTTATTTTGTACATCTGATACCAACCAATGATCAGAGAAAATCATAAGTTCTAATTCTATGTACAGTACTGTAATTGGTTCGTACATGCATACGCACTCACATAACGGTACAATAATGTTTCTTACTGTTCTTCGCCCATGTGAAATTGAACCATAGAAATTCACTTAGATGTTATAATTTAAATATTGTTCCCATATTTTAACAAAAATGTACTACAGTACAGTATAGTGTTTATCGAGCCGATTACAGTAATAAGTGTAGGAAAATTTAACGGTAATGTCGATTTTATTAGGATAATTTCATAATTCTCTCTACAACGTTACAAGAAGAAAAAAAAATAAAACGAAAACAAATGGCCGAAAATTTAATAAGACCATCCGTCGCATAGATGATCAACTTGTCGATTATGGTTATCATAGCAACAAAGTGTTGCTTTATACTCTTTAAGAGGTTGTGCGAAATGATAACGAACATCGTTCATATGAAAACATTCGTTATGGGAAAGCTATTTTGAAGATTGAGTTAGTTATCATTTATGTTTAATGATTAATTTTAGGAATGGAATAATGAATAATTACCGGTATGTTTTCTGTATGTCCGCTAAGACCATGCGCGAGCTTCAAATAACAATTTCCTAAAGTAAAAAATTATTTTTAGTCTTTCAATGGTAAAGAAAAGTTAATAATAAATAGTATATTACTGTAATGCGATATTTACTATAACTTCTTGGGTAGTTTACACAAAATCTTTCCTCGTGCCCATAGAACCGACAATAACGATTATGATGATTATGATGATGATTATGATGATAATGATGAGGATGATTAAGATGATTAGGATGATGATTAGGATGAAGAGGAGGATCCACCGATACCACACAGGTGGTGAAGAGTAAGGCAATAAAGAAGATAACTTGTAATTTCATCTTTTAAAGTCAAGGAATTGAGTCTTGGATTAACGAGTTGCAAGATTTGAAACCTAAGATTAGATTGAAGTTCTCAAGTTCGAACTGAAAAATCAAATTCGAAAAAGGTCTCGCTTATATAAGAAAATTTTGATAGTTGGCTCAAGGCGACTCATTATTTTATTTGTTAAAAATAATTATCTCGCGTGGAAATAAGGTTTTCGGAAGAAATTCATCTACAATGGTGTTGGAATGCAACCTTAAATTTTTTTAAATGATTTTCGATAATTTAAAAATGGTGAAGTAATACCCTACAATGTCGGGCACTTTTAGAGTCGGTGTCATATTCTTATATTCTTTTTAATTTAACATTAGCTTTAAAAACAATTTAAAGAATAGTTATAATGCCATATTCTGTATTCTGTATACCATATACGGTATTGCATTCTGCATCTTAATGTACGCAGATCCGTTAATCTTTAAAAAATTATTACAGTATTATTATTTACCTAATACAGTACTGTATTTGGCTATATGAACTACATACGCTTGCGAAAAGCAAGCTGATTATAATATGTGGATTTAAATAATATATAGGTTTGCAAAGATAATTGCAATATACTACAATATATTTGGTATATTTGGTAAATTTTAAAATAAACCGATTTTATTTTGAAATAAAATTTTGTAAACTATATATAATCTATACCGTACGTTATAATAAATAACTTGTTTTTTTTTTATTAAATATTAGACGACAACATGAATTTTTATAAGCAAATATATTTTCTAAAAAAAAAAATATTTTTTTGAAATTTAACGAGTCAATTATTTTGTTCGTTAATAAAATTTATTCACGATCCAATAATTATTTGAATTATTTTTTGTTTCTTTAAATCTGATTTATAAAATGTGATAAAATACCATATATTCATTATGAAATCGAAATTTTTTGTAATCTTATAAATATTTTAAACTTTATTAAAACAAAATTGATAATAATATAAATTATTATTGTAAAATATTGTATTTTGAACAAATTTTGAAACACTATTTTTTGTCTATATACAATTTGATCGATAATTAACAAATTAAAATAAAAATTTTGATAAATATATTTGAAAATATAAAGAATAAGAAAATTTTTTAATTATATATATTACAACAATATTATTAGTCTTAAATTTTAGATAAAAGTTTTCAAAAAATATAATAAAAAATTTTAAAAAATCCATATACAAGAATTTATTAAATAAAACAAAAAATATATAAAATGATTTTTTTTGTAATTTTTTAATTAATTTAAAAATTTTATTTAAGTAAATTATATTTTTAAAAAAAACAAAAATTTATATTTGAATTTGAATTTTCAATTATAATTTTAATAGAAATTATTATATTAATTTAATATTTTATTTAGATATTATTGATATTTAAATTTTATAAATATGAAGTTAATGAACCATTTAAACTTGATTATATTTATTGGTATCAAAAAAAAAATACAGTAAATTATGGAAATGTCAAAAATTAGAATTACTTGAATAATATAGTTGTATATCAATAGATAATATAAATAAATATATGCATATAGTTTCAAGATTTAATAAAATAAATAAATATTTAATAAATAATTATATATTTTAATTTTAATTTACAGAATTAAATAATATCAAATAATGTTGAAATTAAATAAAATTTTTTCTAACAATAGATAATATCAATTATTACAAATAAAAACTTATTAATTTAATAAAATATGATTTATATCAATATTGATATAAATTGATTATAAATAATTTTTTTTTGATATAAATTAATAAAAAATATCATTATCAATATATATTGATTAATTATAATTGATTATTAACAATTATAGGTTAACTATCAATAAATAACTTTCTAAAAATTTCTAAATATATATCAATAGTACTGCTTTTATTTTATTATTATTATTATTTTTTTTAGTCCACTAACATAGATTTTTATTTGATTTTTAAAAAATTTTACAAAAAAAATTTTATAAATATATATGCTTATAAAACTAATCAATAAATAATTAAATTAAAAGTAAAATTTCTAAAATTAACTAGATATAATATAAGATTAATATCTATTGCAAAACTTATTACTATTCTAAAAAATTTTAAATTTATATTATCTTATCAGGTATATAAGAGAAAGTATAATATAAAAGGATCATTAATTTGCCAAGACTTATTTAACAAGATTCCTATATTATTTGATGCAAAAAACCTTAATAAATAGTTTTTTAATTTTTTAGTGAATATAAAAATTTTAAAAAGTTTATAGAGAAGAAAAATATAATTGATATAGTATATATGACTTCTGAATTATAGGATAGTATTATCTTTATTTAATTGAATAAATAGATTATAATAATTGTTTTTTTTTTATAAATAAATATTATCACTTTATTAATTATAAAATTATTTAAAATTTATATATAGAGAAAACAATAACATTATTTATATAATTTGTTAAGTTAATAAATCTAATACTAGCTTGCCTATATAAACTATTTTAATAGTAAAAAAAATAAATATTAAAACTATTACACATCTGAAATAGTACTAAGCAGCTATAGATATTTACTTAAAATTAATAATGAAATTATTAAATTTGATTATTAAATTTTTATAACATAAAATAAAATTGTAGCTGATATTAATGAATTCATTAATAACCAATAATAAAAGATTCATAATTAATTTATTATAAGAAATTGAATTAGATATGAAGTTTGATATTTTCTAACTTGAATTTTTTAAAAAATATTTTTTTTAACTAGCAGAAATTTAAATTTTACTTAATTTCAGTAATGAAAGATATGTTTATTGTATTGCACCTTAGTTTTTAAATAAGATTATAAAATATGAAAAGACTTTCAGAAGCCATTTTGATTCAGATAATAATATTTGCTATAGAATATATTTTGTTAGTAAATTTGTACAATAACTTGACTACTTGTCAAATATAATTGATTAATTTGCTACTTTAATCTAAATATAAAATATTATTTATAATATTAATAATGTGGACAGCTTGCTTTTTTACTTTGATGCACTTGAATATACAGTATATTGTTACACTTGATCTTCGCCCAAGATTATCACTATCCCTTGTCCAATTTTTACTAGCATTTACCCTTGAAATGTTACTCATTCTAGAATAATTCTTGTATTACTATCTTTGTTATTATTTAGCACTGTACTTTTCGTACTAATGTTGCTCTAGAATATTTCCTAATTTATTTATTTATCTTTATTCTTGTATCT